GGTTGGTTTGAGTATTGGGATGGCGATCTGGACTTCTTCTGTAAGACACAAGACCAAAAAGAGGTTGTATGTAAGCAATCTGGTCACTTGAGGAGCACCGAGCGACGACGGAGATTGGGAATAAGATGATGGGACTGACATCAAAGAGACATTGTTTCTTATCTTGCTTCAGCCCCAGTCACTCTTTCAGCTCAACTTACCTAGGGGGCTATGTGCTGGGGGGGGGGATAGGAGAAGAGAGGGGTATATACCCCACTTTGAACATCTGAGTGAAAGTCAGGGATAGAAATTGAAAGAACAAATGACGAACTCAAGTGAACAATTAAGACTGGGAAAAAAATAAGACTTTTGCCCCAAACCCATCTATTCCAATATTCTGTCTTCACAGTGGCTCATCAGACCCTTAAATAATGCCTATGTCAACTCATAAAATATTTCTCTGATTTTTTTTAGAGTTGCCAACAGAAAGGGAAGGGGGAGCAGTGTAGCATCTTGCAAAACCGAAACTGCATTCCATAAATGTTTTTAAAGATAGTAACTAAGTGACTGAAGTTTCTGCAGCGCAAAATTCTAACTGGAGAGCATGATTGATGACTCTTGGCAATGGATGTGTCCCATTGGAGAATATGAAGGGGGTGGGGGAAAACCAGGATGAAGGGTGACAATGAATTAGGTGTCTCAGAGTCGGCTACACCCAGGCAATGCCAGCATGTTAACTCCCAATAAATCCTTTTTAAGTTTTGGAAGTTTGGCTCGAGACTCATGATTTGAAAGGGTGTAGCTGCCGGAGCCCTGACAGCCTACATAGAAACCAGAATGTCACAATTGTTTTCCTGTTTGTGTTCCCTGTAATGATTCTGCAGAAATCCAAAGGTTCGGTTTATCAGTGTGTCAAGTTTCTCCTGTACTTTTTTTTCAACCAGTTCTCACTCAATTAGGCAGAAGATAATTTAACTGACAAATTTCATTCAAAAGAAGTGAGAATTTGGGGTGGAACACAGAGTCCTTGCACTTCTCCTGTGATGAAGCAAGTCAAGAATCTGTGCAAATGGCCAATCTTTTCATTATATAGTCACCACGCTGGTGATTTGTAGCTCTACCAGCTTCAATTGTTTAATTAAATCCCGAGACTTGAGGAAGCAACTCCTCCACAGAGGTTTTTCCAGCTGAGAAGGGTAGATTGCATAGAAGTTCAGAGTAATGGAAAAATGTGACAAAGAAAACAACGGTAGTCATAATTGTCTTTGCCACTCCTACAGTAAACTGAGCTAGAAAAACAACAGCCATCAAGAGGAATTAGAAACAAATTCTCAAATGTCCCAGGAATAAACAAGAACATTTTATTACAAAGTAAGAGCCTTTTTGCCAAGTGCCAAGTGCCAAGCACCCAGATCCCGATCATATGACTACAGGGATGCTGGGACAGCCAGAAGTTCAAGGACCAGTCAAAAATATCATGTCTTCAGTGCCACCATAACACTGAACAGTTGCTGTATGGTCATTAAATGAGGACTATCTGTATGCAGAGGTACCTTATTAGCCAACCTTAGGGGGTCAGTGGTAATTTCTGTTTCAAGACCACTGAGGCAGCACTGTCTGAAGACATTTCTGCAATCATGTGGCCAGCATGATGTTACACCGCTGTGTAGAGCATACGGCAAAGCATGGAAAAGCTGTTATCTTCCCACTGAAGTGGTACCTATTTATCTACTTGCATTTACATACTTTCAAACTGCTAGGTGGGCAGGAACTGAGGCAAAAATGGGAGCTCACCCCATCACATGGTGACAGGACTTGAACCGGCGGAGCAGAGACCTTCTCTGCTGTCTTTTAAGCCACTAAGCCTCATACACTATCTCCAATGGAGCCATATATTTTCTTTATTTAATTATTTGATTTATATAACCATCCACCTCAAATCCTAAATTGACTAGAATTCCTAGTGCCTTTTGAGCAACACAGCTGAGCGGTACATTGCTATCAAGAAATTTCAACAATTTTTAAATGATTAATAATAGTGAAGAAATTAAGTTAAGACACCACAGAAATGACCTCCAGGGTACTTTTTGACAATGTGGGAAATAAAAATACAGGCTAAAAGTGACCCTTCAGCAACTTTTGGAGTCTTGGACAGCAAGTTAAAATTCAATGAAACAAGGATCCAAGATAGATGTTTGCAAGGTCCTTTCCTAGATCACTGAGACCAAAGCAATTGTTCAAGCAGTTCAGGCTTTAACACCCATTTTGGAAACCTTCCAAAAACATTTAATTCAACACTTGAAACTTCACTCTATACATCCTTCGGTGGTCTGTCCTAACCTGATTTAAGAGGAAACCATGAAATAATGTGAGTTGGCTTTTTGCCTTTAAATAACGAGGCCAGTGGTGGCTAACCTTTTTGGGCTCCTGTGCCAAAAATTGCA